CAAACACAGAGATATACACAGCACACGGGCACATGCATGCATACATAGACACATAACACAGGCACAGAGACACACGTGTGTACACAGGCACATGAGTGCAGCTCCTCTTGTGTGCATATCTGCCCTACATGCTCATGTTTCTGCACAGACATGTAGAGAACTGGATTTACCCCCTCCCCCACCTTATTCCCTTACAGCCCCCAGCCTGGCTACAGAGCCATCTGTCAGAAAGGTAGCTGTGGCGACACCCTACCCCCAACTCAATCCCCTTCCCGTGGCTCCCTCCCTCCCCAGTGCAGCCTCTGAGGCCCTAAGCGCCTGTGTCCACTGGCCTTTTTGCGGTCTCTCTCTCCTCATGATTCCTCCTGCCCCAGGGGCTCTGCACAAGTGCTCCCTGGACCTACGGTGCTTTTCCTGCCACCCCTTCATGCCTTTCCCTTGTCAAGGTGCCACTCTGACTCCTAGACTGGTCAGAGGCCCTATTCCAGACTCCCATTAACCCTGCCTTAATGTGCTTATTTGATTAATGTTTATGTCGCTCTCCAAATTGTTAGCTCCGTGAGGGCAGGGGCCGTGTTGGGCCTCATCCCTGAAGCTGGGGCCACATTCCTATCCTGTGTGATGGAGGCACCACCCAGGACAGCCAGGAGAAGAGGAAGTTGGGGGGCTGTGGGGGCCGAAACAAGGCTTCTAACCCAGCCTGGGAGTCAGGGCAGGCTTCCTGGAGGAAGTGCGTCATAGAGCTGGGTCCTCTCAATACTCATATTACAGATGTGTAAATGGAGACTCAGAGACGTGTTAACGTCAGCCTGTGCACACACCCTAAGGAATTGTCCAAAGTGACTTCATGGAAAAGCCAGTCAGGGTGAGGGTGCCCTCATTTCTCTGCCCCCCCAACCCCTCCCAGCAGGTCTGACCCACCCGCCCTTGACCACCCTGACCTGGTGTTCGTGGTGGGGATCCAAGGATGACGATCAGGGCGATGAGGGCCGCGACAGCTGCCAGCAGGAGCAACACGAAGGCTGAGAGGCAGGCCCCTCGGCGGGAGCAGCAGGGGGCAATGCAGGCTGCTGTGTGGAGCAGGAAACCAGCCATGGAGCAGCCAGCGCTGGGGCCCAGGGACCCAGGGACCCAGGGACCCCCCTCCTCTGGCCCTTCCTGTAACTGGCCTGTCTCCACCTCAGTTCCCTGGAGGAGGGGGTTCCTACGCCTGCCATGATGCTCTCATTTCTGCCTGTGGGCCCACCCCCACCAAGCGCCAGTCCCTGGCCCCAGTCCTGTCGCTAGCGGGTGGCGTCTGGGATGAAGGTCCCAGGTCTCTGCTCTGCCTCCCTCACAATCCTGTCCTTCCACAAGGAAGCCTCCTCAGGAGGCAGGGGAAGATGGACACCAGCTCTTTGAGCCCCTATCACAGGCAGAAACGATAGCAGGCCCTTCAGAGCCGTTATTTTTATTTTCCAACACAATATTTTATAGATGAGGAAACCGAGGCTCAGAGAAGACACGGTTCAGGTCACCTTATGCGGAGCTGAGATGTGAGTTCACACTTATTAGCCATCACAACCAGAGCCCGTTGCATGATGCCAAGTGATTGTCCTTTCTGCAGCTGCCAAGATGCTCGTGGGAACCCGGCTCCCCCACTTCCCAGCTGGGACCCACAGAGACGTCACTTCACTTCTCTGTGCCTGTTCCTTCATGTGGAAAATGGGGGTCGTAATGCCTACCACAGGGTTGCTGAGAGGATTAGCTAGTTAATATGTTAAAACAGTGCTTGGCGCTTAGTAAGTGCTATGAAAGTTTTAGCTTTGTTAGCACTTATTAAGCACCTACCATGTGCCAAGCTGTATCCTAAGCACTATGGAAATAACAGCAATAGGAGACATCCTGCTCCTTTAACTTACTTGGCTCCTTTAATTTTTGCTTGCTTGTGATATAATGAAAGAAAGCTCTATCGGGAACCTACTAGGTGTCCTGCTCTGTAGAAGACACAAAAGCAGTTATGGCTCAGGTTGCTGCCCTCTGACAGTCTGTAGTTGCACTTAGAAGGCAAAGCATGTAGGTTAAAAGAGGAAAGTGGGTACAACAGCTGTCCTCTGGGCCCCAGTTACTATTTCAGAGAAAGAAGCAGAACAGGTCTGATGCGTCTTTGTCCCCAGGGTCCAGCCCAGAGGCAGGCACACAGTAGGTGCTTTGTGAATACTTTGACCCTGAGCTCCAGGACACAAGGAAAGGGCCCCACCTGAGGTCAGTTCAGGAATCCACTCATATTTGTGGAGCTGCCTATTCTGCTCTCCTACTAGTCACATCTGTCCCTGTGCAGCTCACAGAGCCAGGTAGTAAGTGTGGTTAAGGAAGTGTGAGTATGGTGCCTGGTGCCTCGGTGCTCAAAGGAGGGTGGGGTTTCCAAGAGCAGGTGAGGGGAGGGTGCAAAGAGAGGAGATTCCAGGTAGAGAGCATAGGAGGAGTACGGTGTGTGGTGTGTGGGGGACAGCAAGGGGCCTGGTGTGGCTGGACCCTGGAATGGGTGTGTATTGGGAAAGAAGACAATAGTAGGATATACAGCGTAAATCTAATGAG